CACGGAAGTCAGTCGGAATATACGGTTAGAATTTCTCTTTAAAACATGGCTTTTGTTTGTCAAAATTGTTCTAGATTTTAATAGGACGTAGCCATTCGTTATGTCAATCTATTTTGAGGAAAAAAGCAATTCGAGAAAATTTGGAGTTAGACGGTTAGAATTCTCTGCCGACGATATATATATATATACATTTATTGAAATGAATTCTTTGAACTTTCGTTTCTTTCTACGTCTATGGCTGAGTGTGCTGTGAATAGAATTTAGGGATCGTATCTTTAGCTATTTTGCCAGTCCTTGGTTGTTAAACTGTCCGTATTTCATCTTGGACGGAGACTTCCATTGTTTTTATTTTTCTTACAAAGATGTATACAAATATTTGCGTGCTTTTGAGTTCGCTTTCTGTCATGACTAATAATATTATGTTTGTTTTTTGACAGGGTTACTTGATATTTGCATGTGTTTTAGTTCACTTTCATTCTGTAACATTCGGCTGAATATGTGGACTTTTGGTGGGCATGTTGGTGTGATCTGTGTCTTTTTTGTTTTAATGGGTTGTTGGTGGGCTACTTAGTGTGGTCTCCCTCCTCTTCTTCTTTCCAATGCTGCTGTCATCTTGTTCTGATCATGGGGGGTTGTGTCAGGTATAATGTTACTGACTAGCCTCTTACTCTAACTCCGAGTGGGTGGTTTGGGGGCGCCCTAGTGTGTTTTGTTTTGTTTTTTCTGATCAAACATCTACCATCATTTTCTCTCTTCCTTCTTTTCATCGTGTGTTACTCTCTACTAGCACCTTTAATCTTTGGCTCTTATGACCTATTTCTGCTCCAACTGCTGCAAAATGTTTACCAAAACTAAAACCCTTCACTTGGACCTCACTGTATTTCTGCCAACAACCCCTCCGTGTGTGTTTTGTTTTAGTTTGCTGCAGCATGTCCCCGAGACTCACCTCTGTTTTTTTGTTTGCATGCTATAGGGGTCAGCGGTGAGTGTGTTGGTGTGCCGTTTCTGTGTTGTTTTCATGTCACGTATGTGAAGCATGCTGACAAAATGAGTTACTTCTCAGATTCAAGCCTTATAAAATTGAAATAGATACATTACGCTTATAGGTGAAGTTTTCACATTTTAGAAGTATGAAATGATAAAAAGCATGTTATACTTAAAGAATGTGGCGTCAATAGAAAATCTACAAATTTGATCCTTGTGTCGATTTTGGCCAATATCTCCATTTGTGGATTGTGAGAAGTGACTCATTTTGTCAGCAGGTCTCACATATATGGTTTTTGTGTCATGTATGGTCTTCGTGTCAGGTAGAATAGAATATCTCTCAGCACAGTTTGTTCTTTCCTGAATTAGTTTTCGTTTTCTAAAGGCACCACCGATGTTGGAGTCATTTGCAAAGAACTTTGTGTGTCAGTCGCTCCTGTCTGTTGTTGTTGAAGCCCTTCTGTGAGTTTTGGACACTAGTTTGCCCTTAGTTTATTGACGGCTTAGCATAAGACTCTGCCATACGATATTTGAAATATGATGTGTGACGGATTCTTGCACTTAAGTAGTGGATCAGTGAGTATAATTTATAATAATTTAGATATAGTGGTGAAGATGGTGGTAGTGGTGATGGTGGTGTTGGTGGCATTGGTGACGATGGTGGTGATAGTGATGGTGTTGGTGGTGGTGGTGTTCTCAGCTCCGTCTTCTTCTTCTCAGTGCGTTATTGTTGTAGTCTGATCCTGATGGTGTACAGCAATTTTTGTTGTGCTTTTCGCTGTAGTCAGAAGACAAATGTAGTTGTAGTAATTACGTTGAACTTTTCTTGCTGTACTGTATGGTTGAGAATCTTTTCTTGCCATCAGATCGCGACCTCAGGGCTTTCTTGTCCTGTTTCCATTTTTAATAACACAGAAACCAGTTCATAACAAAGAGTGAGCATAAGAAGAAGTCACATTTTCCCTGTTAACAAAATGCAAAAATGGTGATAGGATAAGAAAGCACCGAGGTCGTGAGATGTTATGTTGTCTGTACCTCGGCGAGCGAGAGGCGGAGTCAGATGTTTGCACCACTTTCTCTCACTTTCAACGAATCTGTGCACAAGTCAAAGGAGAAATGTTCTCGACAAATGCTTTGGTCATAATCAGACATTGAGGAATGGACTATTATTACTGTTGTTATTATTATAACTGTTGTTAAAATGATTAGATCAATATGTCTATTGCTTCGTGTCTCCTCGTCTCCTCCTGGCTAGATCGCCAAATGTCCTTCCTGGTGGTAGATCCTACACCACTCTACTCCTGTGTCGTAGGCAGTGGGTGACACACACACACACACACACACACACACACACACTCACACACTCACACACACACACACACACACACACACACTCACACACACAGAGAG